TCCTACTGATGAGAGTTTGTGAGGTAAGACAGGGAAGCCCACCCCGGGCTTAGTCAGTATACTAAGGATCGCAACGAGGAGGGGACCATAGAAGTCATGAGATCATCACCGAAGTGCCAGAGATGCAACTATGGTACGCCCCTGATGATTGCTGAGTCCGCCGATAGGGGGACGAAAACAGGACAACCCGTCACGGTGGCCAACATTCGTTATTATATTTTGGCCGGCCTTTTGAACAGTGATGTTACCCGCGATAACGTTGTTATCTTCTGATAGCCGCATGTGCCTGAGGTAGGATCTGAACTTACCTGCCTTGTTTTAGTACCTTTTTACTTACGAGCTGACCAGGTGGCTCGTTTGTACTAGGAAAGACGAAAATTGGAAACTACCTCTCCGTCTGATGAACCTAGAACCTGAACGAGGAGCGGATACGAAGATTTTATTTCATGTATTAAAAGAGTGCAAGGCAAACACATCCTCCACAAATCATTTTTTACCATTCAGAAACTAGGCTTTTGTGCCCATAAGCTCCCTTTTGCAGTTTTCAAATGCGGCTGTCTTTCCTAAATAGTTTCTTATCCTTGATTCTCTGGCCGATTGTAGACGCTTGTGCACTGGCCGCATCTGCCATCGAGCAGAGTGTTCTAGACCCAAACTCACCCGACTCGTCCATGGAGGTCGATCGGATGAGCTCTGAGGATCTTCCTCTAGATGAAGCAACTCGTGAGGAAGGTATCGCCTTCCACCCGGCCTTCTTTCACCGCGCCTCTGCTGAGATTCCCGCGAACAAGAATGACCAGATTCGTCTTTTAGAGGTTTGTTCTGGCCGCAATTTTGTGACCCGACCGGGTCTTGTGCAAGTTACGCTGTTTTTGATGTTGATGCGGTTATTCCATTCCAGCGTCGTGGGTTCCTTCAGCCTACTTTGTCCATTCACGGACTCATTGTGTTTTTTCTTTGAGATTTCCTAACCATTCCAGGGGAAAATCAGTATAAGAGGGTTAGTTAACAACTTCGGTCTGTACGTTGAAGGGACAGTTGAGCAATTTGTGAATCTAAATCCACTTTTATTACAGTTCACCTAGCCCACCTCAACGCTTGTTTCGGGCAAATGAATCCAGTTGATTAGAGCACTTCCTAGCTGCCTTTTTCAAGCAACTCCAGCTCTTTATCGACAATAGGAAGGAGCTCTGAGCCATTTGTTTGAGACATCACTTCTTATCCTCCTTTGATCATTAGCTTTTCAATCTGGACAAGTTATCCCCCGCCTTTGTGTCTATTTTCTGTCCCATTAGGGTTACCTTGATGTTTATCTTGCTCGTGATTGCTAGACTGCGTCCTTTGTGCGCCTCTTGCATTCTGAATTCTATTTAACGGACCGGTACTGTATGCAAAAAGAGATCGATTTGTCGTTCACCTAGTATCCCTGCGATCACCATAGCACTAGGGAACATAACTGATGTATGCATGATTTGGATTGCAGTGGGCGAAACTTGCACGGTATGAATTTAATGATGGCTCCTCGCATCCGTCGTGCTTCGGTGACAGGACTAAGTCAATGTGACTTCGGGGCCCTACACATGGTAGCTAACTCTGCATAACTCTCCGTCGATGCTTGCCACACCACGACTGGTTCTTCCCTACTGACCAAGTCGGGCATCGCAACCAGATTCCCGCCGGCCACCCTCTTCTGATTCCGCTCGACCGTCAGTGCAGCTATCGGGGTGTATCCACTGTACTCTGGGCAGCCTCGTGGGGCCAAATAAGAGAGTTGGACCTCACTTGTGCACGAAGGATAACGACTTTGTACGGCTTAACATTAGGTGCGAATTGAGCCCCCTGGCCGGGCTGCGTGATAGATGTGTTGGATCAACGTGGGGACTAGATCAGGACACGACAGGCGTTATTCGAATTGCGCGCTCATAACGAACGTCGCACGCGGGAGGCGGGTGGTGGCACGCCTAGTTGCCGGTTCACTCCACACTAGTCACCTCTGCTTGATCCCTGCTCGACCAGAGCATGGCAAGCTATAATATTGTGTCTGCGTAACCTGCGCCCGACCCCGCTTCCAGTCTACTTGACTCTATTCTGACACCGGGCACCGTTTGGGGGACGAGGAGGAGAGTATGACAGATGCTGCGCAAGTCTACTATCACCTCAAACTTATGCATGCGCAATTCATCGATTCTGCACCACCCTCCTGTGGAGCACATAGTGAACGTCGCCAGAATCGACGTTCGAACCGTCGTATTGGGTGCGAATGCCATTCAAAGACCGTGTTCACCCCCACCCCTCTCCCCCCGGTTTGTCATCCCTTAATCTCTAGAAAAAAGTCATATGGGTAATCGAGGATTGGGCACCCGTGAAAACTCACGCCTTCCTACTTGGCTGGTATCAAATCTCCTTGTTTTGAAGAAAGCTCAATGTTATGCGTACTTTTGACACATTATCCAGTTTACTTTATAGGCATGTCTTCCAAAGTTTGCCTCATGTCACGATTAAAAAAACTCGGCACGTCTTCATACTTAAATGACTGCATTCTGCATCATTACTATACCCTAACATTGGCTCTCCCGCGCTTCCTTATGTCTAGCAGATGTCAATTCAATAGCTGCATGTGCGTCCTTTTAGCTGATTTCCTTTCAAAAGGTGCTGTTAACACTGTTTTACTCATTCAGAGCGTCAGGCCATGGCTACAGGAGGCCATCTCGTCAACTCGTCTGCTAGAATCAAACTACAAGGTAGACGGTCCACTGACGTGGAAAGCTTTCCACCAGCTGGCGGGCCGCGGAGCAAGCGAGTCGTGCAAGCCGCAGCCGATCCCTCCCTTCCTCGTTGGAAGTTCTGATGAGGACAGCCTGCTCATCTCGCCCTTTGGCGTCCGAGACTGGGTATGTGTATCTCCTTTGTTTTTTAGCTTCTTTAGGCCTGTCTATAATCGTCTGCAGTAGG